TTCAACTCCCAGAATTCTCTAGCCAGCATTCATAGACTTCAACTCCCAGAATTCTCTAGCCAGCATTCAGATTTCAACTCCCAGAATGCCCCAGCCAGCATTCATAGATTTCAACTCCCAGAATTCCCCAGCCAGCGTTCAGATTTCAACTCCCAGAATGCCCCAGCCAGCATTCATAGATTTCAACTCCCAGAATTCCCCAGCCAGCATTCATAGATTTCAATTCCCAGAATTCTCCAACCAGCATTCATAGACTTCAACTCCCAGAATTCTCTAGCCAGCATTCATAGATTTCAATTCCCAGAATTCCACAGCCAGCATTCATAGATTTCAACTCCCAGAATTCTCTAGCCAGCATTCATAGATTTCAACTCCCAGAATTCTCTAGCCAGCATTCATAGACTTCAACTCCCAGAATTCCACAGCCAGCATTCATAGATTTCAACTCCCAGAATTCCACAGCCAGCAGTCCACATTTTAAGATGCTGACTGGGGAATTCTGGGAGTTGAAGTCTATATATCTTCAAGCTTGGGAAACACTGTGCTGGGCTGTCATGGGCTCATCCAGAGAGTGAGCTCTTGGCATAAATAAAGAATAACAGAATAACAGAGTTGGATGGGACCTTGGAGGTCTTCTAGTCCAACCCCTCTGCTCAGGCAGGAAAACCAGCCCATACCATTCCAGACCAATGGTCGTCTTTACGTCTTTAGGCACCGTCCTGGGAGGTCCCGTGGTCCCGTTTTGCGACCTTCGGACACGCAAAGTCAGCGGGGGGTGGGGGAAAGCCAGGTTCACTTAACAATTGTGTTACTAACGCGGCAGCAATTCACTGAACAGCTGTGGCGAGGAAGGCTGTGACGCAGGGCCAACGTCACGGGGATGTGGGGGGTAACCGTGGTCGTAAACTGAGGACTACCTGCAGCCTTGCGAGTGTCTCTTCCCACCTTCTGCTATCTGAATGCTCGGAGGACCCCCCCAAAAAAATCTTCAAAGGCGCCTTTGAAACTCAACCTGTCTTTCTCTAAGGGTTTGGCTGGCTCTCCGGCCTCTTTGAGCAGCTCAGAGACCCCGCCTGGGAAGGAAGGGCTGATGGGGGAGGGGAGTGGGGAGAGGGGAGGAGAGGAGGGGATGCCGGCTCAACTCTGGAATTTTTAGCTTGCTTTGAAAGGCTGCTCTGGGCTCAAGAGGCCAGGCGCGTTTGTCCCAACGGGAATGGGGTCTCTCTTTTTTGTCACCTGGTGGAACGCAGTTACGGTTACAGACAGAGAGAGGCTGAGGGCCAGTTGCGCTGAAGAAGGCAGGGGTGGGATGTTGGCTGAATCTGATCCTTCTTCCCTTCCCTCCTTCCCTTCCTTATCTTCTTTCCTTCCTTCCTCTCCCTTCCTTCCTTTTCTTCCCTTCCCTTTTCTTTCTTTCTTTCCTTTCTTCCTTCCTTCCCTTCCTCTTCCCTCCTTCCTTCCCTTCCCTCCTTCCGTTCCCTTTCCTTCCCTCCCTCCTTTTCTTCCTTCCTTCCCTTCTTTCCCTCCTTCCTCTTCCATCCTTCCCTTCCTTCCTTTTCCCTCCTTTCCTTTTCTTCCTTCCTTCCCTTCTTTCCCTCCTTTCCTTCCTTCCTTCCTCTTCCTTCCCTCCTTCTCTTCCCTT